GCTAATCGCCGCAAGGCCCTTTGTTTGTTCATTGTAATTAATTTTGTAAGGCTGACATAAGATTTTTTTTAAACCTTTTTTTTTCTCTTTTCTATAATTTGAAACCTTATTTTTAAAAAAAAAAAGAAGTAAAGAAAATATTTAGATAAGTGATTACATTCCTAAAGTAAATCACAGCTGTATTACAACTATCATGAAAAGATACGAAACGTAGAAATAGTCAGCTTCACATTTGCACAATTACAAACGAAAAGTCAACGTTGCGGCTAGACAGCTCAGGTCACGCCAAATGTCGATATTTTTCCTCTTCTTGGTCAAGGATATTCTAAAAAATATTTCTGTAGCATTTCGGTTTAAAAGCCCATTTTCTTCTTTCATAATTTTGCAGGGGTCGCCACAACAAAAGGATACTGTATTAAAGGATCGCGGCATTAGGAAGGTTAAAAGCCACTGCCTAAGAGGTTTGCAGATCTGTTTTTAAATCTCTAAAGCCTTAGATGCCACACGGCTAGAAGTCCAGGAAGGCATCAGTTATGGACATTAGACAGTACAGTCAGTGGACAAGCGTACATTAACCCTCTCAGGCCTCTCAGTGCTGGGCTGCTATTTTAACCTCAGCATGCAAGGAAAGTGGTAAACATCGTGAAGTTTCGGTCGCTGGAAGGACGTAAGGATACGAAACAAAGACCCCAGTAGAGTAACTTTTCATATTTTCCCCTTCCCCGTAGCTTTGCACAAAAAACGACTACTGTCTATCTTTAGATACTCTAATAAGATTACAGATTTCATGTTCTTTGATGGAGTAACTCATTCGCCCCCCCCCCCCTCCCCCCGCATTCTTGGTCTATGTCAATCGTTGCATTTTCTCCAAAAGCTAGATCTCCGTGTCATTTTGAAGCCTCTCAACTCGCCTGCTCCTTATCTCTGTTTCACATATATGCAACGGTACTGGTACTATACAGTACTTTAACACAGTACTTGTACCATTGCATCTAAGCGAAACAGAAACAGCACAGGTGCATTATAGCACTTTAACATATTATGTCTAGCAAAGTAGTCAAGTTATTTGTCTCAGGCTCTAAATGCCATGAATTCGCTTACAAAGTGTGTTTTTTTTTTTTTTTTTTTTATATATTTTTTATTATTTAATTATGTTATTATTTTATTTTAAAGGTTCAATCCCACACCTTTGTGGTGCACACTGGAATACTAAAGTCGCAGTTTCAGACTAAGGGGGCAATAGTTCGCCTGGAAAAGAGACGGGCACCGACTAGGTCATAATTGTTCCTTCCCCTCTCCCCCCCCCCCTCCCCTCGCAGGGGTCTAGCAAACCAGCAGTGGTGTTATAGACCGCTACTTCACAAGAAACATTAAATTATTCACTAGAACAGAAAAATAGCTACATGTGAAACGTGCTGTCTCCGTGAGGCCACTAACAACACAAGAAGAGACAGATCTGCCTATTCCAGCATCAGAGAGAAAGTCGGAATAATACCATCTCTGGATTATGTTAACAGGCAAAGAATGAAATAGTGTGACAATCTACTGAACAAGCTACATTTGAGACTTTTGATAGCAGAACATCTGGTAGAAAGGCGAGGGGAAGACCAAGAAAAAAGATGGAAATTTGGTGCAGCTGAAACCTGCAAAAACTAGGAACAAATTCATCACCCAAGCCACGCTAGAAGCGCAAGACATAATACAGAAAGCCACACACTCAACTACTATCTGGTAACAGTGAGACGACAAAAGATAAAGAATAACAACACTAACAGTCATTTGTTGAAGAGAAAAATAACACAAAAATATACAGATATATTTGAAAGAATATGACAACCATAAAAAAATACTTACAATTGAAATTTCAAACATGTATAAAGGATCTATTAGTCATTGTATGGGTGTGGGGGTTGGGCAAAATTTTGAGGGCGTCAATGGGTCTTGAGCTCCCAGGCTATAAAACCTTAGCCGATTCTGCGTTTTGTTTGCAGTTATAAAAAAATTTAAAGTGAATGCCATTCCTACGATAAATGTTATAGAATATAAAAATGACGGACTCTTCTATGACAGTGGCTCTCAAAATATGTGACTTGCAGATCTCTTTTTAAAAGCCATTTAAATGGCAGAGTCCTTACGCCTGCTGTACGTCTTACAAGTTATTGGTGCTTAAAAGTAATGTTATGGAGCAGAGGGGAACGATAGTAAAGGGATGTGAGGAAAATAAAAGACATCAAGATCATTGTGCAATCTTCATGAAATTAACTTATGTTTTCAAAATTTAGAAATTTACCGTAAGAGTCACTTTGTTCTTAACTACTACTGGATGTTCGCTTGGATCTAAAGGTCGGGGGTTCGGGTCCTGGCGGAGCCGGACTTTGTTAAACAAATGAGCGTTGCTTCCAGATCCACCCAGCCTTGGGTAGGTACCAGGTGCAGTCCTGGGAAGTAAAGGCGGCCGGAGGGATGCTGACCGCATCACCCAATAAGTGCTGATTGGTCTATAAAATATAGGTCTAGCTCTACATGCTCCATACGCCTGCACGTGTTGAAAGGGTCCTTGAAGTGACTTTCACTTGTACATACAATACTGTCAATACTTGCCTGTACACACAATACTGTCAATAGTTGCCTGTACACACAATAGTGCCAATACTTGCCCGTACATACAATACTGTCAATACTTGCCTGTACACACAATACTGTCAATACTTGCCTGTACACACAATACTGTCAATACTTGGCTGTACACACAATACTGTCAATACTTGGCTGTACACACAATACTGTCAATACTTGGCTGTATACACAATACTGTCAATACTTGGCTGTACACACAATACTGTCAATATTTGGCTGTACACACAATACTGTCAATACTTGGCTGTACACACAATACTGTCAATACTTGGCTGTACACACAATATTTTCAATACTTAGCTGTACACACAATACTGTCAATACTTAGCTGTACACGCAATACTGTCAATACTTGGCTGTACATACAATACTGTCAATACTTGGTTGTACATACAATACTGTCAATACTTGGTTGTACACACAATACTGTCAATACTTGGCTGTACATACAATACTGTCAATACTTGGTTGTACATACAATACTGTCAATACTTAGCTGTACACACAATACTGTCAATACTTGGCTGTACACACAATACTGTCAATACCTGGCTGTACACACAATACTGTCAATACTTGGCTGTACACACAATACTGTCAATACTTAGCTGTACACACAATACTGTCAATACCTGGCTGTACACACAATACTGTCAATACTTGGCTGTACACACAATACTGTCAATACTTGGCTGTACACATAATACTGTCAATACTTGGCTGTACATACAATACTGTCAATACTTGGCTGTACATACAATACTGTCAATACTTGGCTGTACATACAATACTGTCAATACTTGGCTGTACACACAATGCTGTCAATACTTGGCTGTACACACAATACTGTCAATACTTGGCTGTACACACAATACTGTCAATACTTGGCTGTACACACAATACTGTCAATACTTAGCTGTACACACAATACTGTCAATACTTGCCTGTACATACAATACTGTCAATACTTGGCTGTACACACAATACTGTCAATACTTAGCTGTACACACAATACTGTCAATACTTGGCTGTACACACAATACTGTCAATACTTGGCTGTACACACAATACTGTCAATACTTGGCTGTTCATACAATACTGTCAATACTTGGCTGTACACACAATACTGTCAATACTTGGCTGTACACACAATACTGTCAATACTTGGCTGTACACACAATACTGTCAATACTTGGCTGTACACACAATACTGTCAATACTTGGCTGTACATACAATACTGTCAATACTTGCCTGTACACAAAAGTGCTTCCAAAGTTCAATAAATAAAACCGTTCACGCCACGATTGATTTTACATTGCTGGTGAGAACCTGTGATCTATGTGCGTTTAAGCAACAATATATAAATGACAATCTAACCCCCTTATCAAAAATCGATTTCCTTTTATATATAGTCACGGGACAGTTTAAAATGTACCAAGTTTCACATGTCATACAAATCCTCTTATCTCTAAGTTGTTTTATATTGGTGCCAATCAATACATGTTGTTTTGCTTATGTCACGTGTAGAGGGGTGAAGAAATAGAAAAAATGACCGGGCAACCACTGCTAACAAGAGTTATGAGTCAGAGAACATAGCACTGTATCGGATATGTCCTGGGGGGAGGGGGGGGGAGGGGGGACGAGTAATGAAACACCAAGCTAGCACTAATATGAGAAATAAAAGGACGGAGGAGGCGAGGACGTCAAAATAACCCCCCAAAAAACTGAAAGTGGAAGAAAGAAACCAAGGGTGATGCGGCAAGGAGCTTTACAAGAAACCACACAAAAGCCGAAAGTGGATGAGAGAAGCCAAGGGTGATGCGGCGAGGACGTTAAAAAAACCTGAAACGAACATTCATGAGAAAAAAATTCAACAGTGCTGGACTGAATTCTATCCATAATATAGAAAAGATTGCAGAGGTTAGAACAAAATAAGAGAATACCCTGCGAGTCATATGTGACATTTAGTGACACAACAGGTCTATGAAAGTGTGATGATGATTGTTATGCAATAATAAAAAGGTAAAGGTAAAGTCAGGAGATGTGAACCAGCGTCACTGCACATGGTTAAAAACAATAAGTGCTCTGCCACCAGTACGGACAGCTGACAAGAAACTGTTCGCGTGTGTCCCCGTCCACACGAAACTCCGTAGCTACAGCCATGTTCCTCCATTTACCCCAGACTGTTAACTCTGGTAATCATTTCCTAAAAGCTGTGTGAACCCCGGAAACCGCCCGGTTTCGAACACCGGCCGTGGGCTGCAGCGAGTCGCAGATGGATTTGAAAGCGAGTCTCCTATCGACTGCGCTAACGCGGCCCACATACAATAATAATTATCCCACAAACTGTGCCCTAACGAACCTGTTGAAGCAGACGTGAGGCCAGGAGCCAGTCAGGTACATGAAATCTACTGAAGCGAATGGTTGCCTGGAGCTGATCGTCAGTGGATGGATGCATATGCATGACCACAGCATGGTGGAAACACAAGCTAGGTCCGCTATGGTCAGACCTGGGGAGAAACAGACACAGGCATTTAATATGTTATGTGAAATAAACAGCTATACTAGAAGTTTGAAGTTAGAACAACTGACCAACATCATGGCACACGGGTAGTAACCCATAAGTGCTTCGTTCTTCTTTTAACTCGTCTGAGTTCGAAGAAGCTCAGCACAGTGCACAGGCACTTTAGAACCGGCGAGGATCCTGAAATATTTAGGGTAGATTTTAAATTTCAAATTTTGCTAGGGCAGAGCCGTTATGCTATTCTTTTCTAACTGCCACGGTATTTTTACGCGAGCAACAATGCACACAGGCCTCTGATCTCACTACCTAGAGACCAGGGGGGGGGGGGGTTTGGGGGGGGGGTTGGGGCGGGAGGGGGGATTACTAGAAGTCCTACTTCACTTGAAAAAATCCTAGCCCTTTCCGGGGATTGGACCCGGAACCTCCAGCACTCGAGGCGGACACCATGCCTCGAGACCACGCAGCTTTACTACTCTGGCTTGTGTGTCTGCGTGTGTATGTGTTGTGTGTGTGTGCTCTATGTGTACAAGAATCGCCTCCTACCACATTTGTCATATTCATTATGTTTTTTCATCTCTGCAAGGGTATCTTGCATCACAGGTTAGGAGCTCGTCAAGTTAGTTGTTTCAAGTCACTTGCTCAAGAGCTTGTCGTTTGTATGGATTTTACACCAAGATTTTTCTTTCTTTTTGATTATGAATAAAATGTCAGTTTTCTAACACTCAAAACCTAGCTACTCGCTGTGTGCTTTTACTGCTTTCACTCAACACTACAGATCATGGTAATGTCTATAATCAATACTGTATCATCTGCATATTTTATGTTAAATGTTGAATGAATGTTGAATTAAGAATCGACATCACAGCACTCGGGAAACTCCCATAAGTGCTCTGTCTTGATCTTCAACAGCAAACTGAGAGTTCCAGTTCCGATGGCACAAGTAACCATTTTAATGTTACGTTAAATAAATTATGATAGTTAATTAATTAATCAAACTAACAAGTTTTTAACCGAATTACATTGCATCCAGCAATTCAGTTTAATAAATGTATATCTAGGGCTCTAGAAAAATGTAAAGTCGGGAGATGTGAACCAGCGTCATTGCACACGGTTATAAACTATAATGTTCTGCCACCACTACGGACAGCTGATAAGAATTGTCCGCCTATGTCCCCGTCGCAAGTAACTCTGTAGCTACAGCGCCGTTCCTCCATTTACCTCAGAGTTTCAACTCTGGTACCCATTTCCTAGAGGCTAGGTGAACCCCGGAAGCCGCCTGGTTTCGAACACCGACCGTGGCTCCAGCGAGTCGCAGCTGGATTTGAAAGTGAACTTCTTATCGACTGTGCTAACGCGGCCTCCCAATCGAGGGCTCTACTAAAGTTTATCTAAGAATGAAGAGCCTGGTTATCTCTGGATTGCAACTTCAGAGTGGGAGAGAAGATGCTGGAAAGTTTAACATAATGGCATGGAAGACCATTTGTGTCAGAACTGACTGAAAGTACACGAGACAGAGTGGCTGAGTGCTTACGTCTTTTGCTGCGTGCTCTGAAAATCGTGGGCTCGTTTCACAGTTTACGTCGTTTGGTTGACGAATGCAATTTATATAAAGATTTCTGGCAACAGCCGCTAGCTTTTTTCGTTCCTCTGGCGACACATGGCTAGCCACTCTACAGTAGATATACAGCCATGCAAAATAAAGCTAACTGCACTGTAGTATATTCTTTTTCCTTTAAAAAAAAAAATTTAAATATTAAATCTGGAAAACATGGATGCATTTTAACGAATACTCACCAAATAAGCTTAAGTTGATCTTGTCTTTGAATCCCTGCTTAATGAAGACTGCAATATTAATTATGTTGCCAGCGAAGCCAAGAACACTGACGACGCCACAAACTCCGACAAACACAACCTCCTGAAAGATCTGCCTTATCTCTACTGTGACCAAGTCTGCACTAGTGGCGCTTTCCATAGCTTGCAGCTACTGCCACTGCAAATATAGATCCACAATCTAGTCTTAATTATTTCATTTGTCACAGGAGTGTTCATATGATATCCGAGAGGAACATTAACAATATGAACGATGTTCTCTGTGAAATAACTGGTTAAGTTGAGTGCTGTGCGCTATAACAGTCGTGGGTCCACAAATGACATTTTTACAGACATCCTTTCAGATGGTCGCTAAAACTGTAGAGTTCGTGTTTGTACTGCGGGTATAGCTGGCCCTTGGTCATTCTGGGAATAAACACAAAGAATACGGCATAAAAATCCAAATAATAAAAGTAAGTCCTCGTGACCCTGAATTTACATACATTCGTGTATTCATTTCCGACTCGTTGTTCTAACGTAACGCGATCGCAACCCACTGCTGGCTTTGTTGATTGTTATCACTGTATAGGGCGTTGCAGGTCGACCCAGCCTAAAATGGGATGTATATCCTGGGAAGTAAAGACTGCCGGCGATGGCGAGTGTGACGAGCAAGACCTACCAGCGTTAATAAAAGTCCTCCACAATAAGAGCATGTGATTCTAGAACCGTTGTTGCCACCACATATATTTAGTTGTTTCTTCTCTGACATCCTGCACTCATCTTTTCTGCAGACATTTCTTGTTTCGTTCTCATTCCCCTCCTTATTAGCCCCCTCCAAGCAACACCTCTTATGTGGCGTTAAACAAATGAAATAGGCCAGTTGTTTCCAGTGTCAAGTAAGACCCACTGACTTTTCCTGTTTCTCAAAGGCTAGCCACGGGCTACCTAATTTTTAAGTCTTATTTAAAGTGAGTCGGCTCTGTGGCTAAGTCGATGCGAACGCTTCGTAATACCGGGGTGCCGGGTACAAACCTAGGTGCGGGCCATGCGCCTTGCGTTGGTTTTGACAGTGGTATCAGAGGGCGACCGTCCAGAGGGCAATGGCAAACTACTGGACGTAAATTTGCCTAGAGAAACCACACAACATCCAGCAGCTACTGGGGTTGGTTCTGCAACGTCCTGTAAAAGATACGCAACTAATCTCATTAAAGTAAGTCTATATTAAATTAGTTGCCAGTCCTCTAGAGCAGTATTGCTCAACTTTTTTTTTAAACACTAGCCGCCCACACACACACACACACAAAGGGGGAGGGGGGTGAAGGGACACTTTTCGCGTCCCAGATAACAGCTAACTCAACACACAAACAAAAATAAAACTAATGGCATTTTGTTTGTTAATAAATCTTCGAGGTCTGAGGTTTTGAACAGCAACGGATCAACATCATGGCACACGGGTGTAATTCATAAGTGCTCAGTTCTTCTTCTAACTCGTCTGAGTCCTAAGAAGCTCAGCACAGTGAACGGGATCTGTAGCCCCGGAGAGGATTCTTAAAAACATTGGATACATTTTTACTCCAAATTTTGACGTGCAGCGCCATTATCCTACTCTTTTCGATTTCCAACTGCGAAGGGATTCTTTACATGCGCAACAAGGCACACGGGCGTCCGATCTCACTACCCAGAGACCAAGGGAAATTACAAAAGTACAATCTTCAGCTAATGTTCTTTTTTTTTTTTCTTTTTCTTCGCATTCATCAGCTGTAAACTGCAGCATAAAGTTCTGCGTGTTTGTCCACCTCTGACCTTAAGGCTTGTTCTAGAACCTAGGTGTTGCGTGCACATTAGTTTAACAGGTGACTACTTTACGTGCAGATTTGTGGTTACTTGTCTCTCAGACAGACACACTCCGACTTCAAAGGAAGCTTCCATTTAGTCGACTCTTACGATATGCTTTTGTAAAGGCAGTAGGTCTTTCTTGTTTTCCCACAATAGGGAGCTTATGTGACATCTGTTGCTGCTTATTAGAAAATCATATATAGGCTGAAGCGTTAATTCTGATAGACGAAGCGCTGCAATAACATTTATCGAATTTCTCCTAATCTTTTTTTTTTTTTTAAGAACTTTGACATGACTAAGAGTTTTTCGGTCTTTTCACAGTTTGTTCTTCCACTTCTGAACTTTAATACTTTAATATTACTTCAATTTAATTTCATCCATTCCCAGCTAGAAGAAGTATAGATTGACATTAGCATTACAGACATATGTTGTAGTTTTACATCGAATCATGTTATTAATGGCTTGACGTTACATATTACCTCGGATGTATTTAAATCAATGTTGAAATAAATTGTAAGTTAATGACACCAGTACGTTCATATAATGACAAGTTTTAATGCTTTTATCAACCCTCATTATTTTAGGTGTAATTGGGCTGGCTATTTCAAATATAGCAATCTTAAAACCACTAAGACACAGACAGAATAAAGAGAGAACGTTTGATAAATATACACCTTTAGCTTTGTTTTATAATTTATAATAGAGTTCGAATTCTCCGCTGGGCGCTTGTAGACAAGACTGTTCTTTTGGTTTTCAAAAAGTGGTTGTCACGTGACAGAGATTTTAACCTTCCAACCAGGGTCGTGAATGCACATTAATCAACCTTTACTGTGAAGACGGCACACATTTATAATGCATTGTAGCCAACGACACCTCAGAATGCTTAAATAAATACAATAGACAGACATGTACAGACGGGCTCGTCTCAAACATTATAAGGAATATTTTGAAGTTCGGGTCTAGAGGGGTGTCTCCCATCCCCCACCCACACCCCATGGAAAGAAGGGGCGCTTTGTAATTATCCGTGATATTATTTTTTTTCAGTTTAATTATAAATAAAATAATAAACTATTAAAAAAAAAAATGTTTATTATTTATTCCATAACTTCCGTCTCAACTTGAGAGTTAGCCACTTGGCGAGAGAGAGTCGCACAAAGCACGACTTCTGTAGCCCTAATAATGATCCAAAAGTATCCGAACCAATTTCACCAGTGAACCGAAGACAGGCCGTGAAACAACTAGCGATCTTCAGTGCCTCACATTACGGTCTTGAGCTCTACACGACGGAGTCCGAGTTGGAAAAGTTAAGATGGTTAAATTGATACGCAATGAACATTGAAACCAGTTCTAAAAGCGTTAAGCCCCAGACAATTTCTTTCATCGGGCGTCAAATTTCTCAAATAAAGACTAGGAAAACTCAGAAGAGTTGACTCAATAAAAAGACTAAATACACAGTTTGCGCAGCGAATTTATGTAGCACGCTCTGGTTGAATGTACATAGTTGGACACATATTTTTTATCAGACGGCCGTGAGTCAATCAGAATAATTAATCAGAGTTCCAATGTGATATCTCTCTCTCTCTCTCTCTCTCTCTCTCTCTCTCTCTCTCTCTCTCTCACTCTCTCTCTCTCTCTCTCTCTCCCCTCCCCACCTTTGTTTCCACAGTAACTTACTTCCTGTTTTACCTTCTTCCTTACCGTGACAGTCAAAACGTGTTATGGTTTATAAATTAACTGCAGGTATTTCATGAAATCAAATCTCTCCACGTCAGCGCCACAGAGTTTTACTATCGGCATTGGTGTTTTAGAAAGGTGATTATATAATAAGAACCGGGAGACTGTCTCTTTTGATGGATTAATTGTTGTCCCTGAGGTGTTGCACCAGGATGATATGCGATCTAAATCCTGTTGTAGATCCGAAACAATGTCATCTCTGTTCCTGCCCTGTCGGTACACAAGGATGTCATCCGCATATGATAGAATTCTTCCTCTGCCACTCAGTTGTTCTCCTGTAATCTTGACTGTGTAAATGTTGGAGAGGATAGAAGACAATGGAGAACCCTGTGGCAAACCAGGGTGTATTGTTATCAGCACAGAAGACCAACTACCACATCAAAGCACGACCTTCCTCTGGAAAAGTGCAGCAGATATCAGAAGTTCAATTAACTGACACATTAGTTGGTGGAAGGGAACTTTGTTGTATGCATCCTCCAGATCTGTGACCAAATGGGGGTACAACAAGCACGCATAAAAGCTCTGCCTTACAACACAGAGCCATCTTCACAGATGGTCATAAAAACTGGGCGAGAAGTGTCTTGAATCATTTGTTGAACGTCTGATTCTGCATCACCTGCTGGTCAGTCCCTGCACTCACGAAACAATGTGATTAGATCCAAAACTTTGTTGGGACATTCTGACCACGCCTGTTCTCGCCCACTTCTCTCAACCAGAATGAAGACAAAGCTATGTCGTACACGAGGAGATATGGATTGCACTATAGATGTCATAAACGCTGCTGGCCTCCTGATAAATGTTTTCTGACAAAAGGATCGATCATGAAGTAAAAAAGTAAAGTAAAGGACCCTCTTCCAAGCCTTCAGACTTATAGGGCATATAGGGCTAGACCTATATTTGTATAGAGTAATCGGCACAAAATGGGTGATGTGGTCAGCATCACACCGGGCGCCTTTACTTCCTGGCACTGCACCCGGTACCGACTCAAGGCTGGGTCGACCTTGGAGGCAAGGTCATTTTTGAAAAAAGTCTGGCTCCGCCAGGGAGCGAACCCACGACCTTCCGATCGGCGGCGAGCGTCTAGCCGATCTCGATGATGGAGAAGAAGAGGTAATTGTGAAATCTCGCACTTGTTTTAAATAAATGCCCGCAATATTACTATATTTATATAGCAGTGGTTATTTTGTAAAGTGAGTTTAACAAAAATTGTTTTTGAAATAAATGCGTTTGCATGCAAATGCATGTGTTTGCTTTGCCTTTACTTTTAATAATTGTTACATTATTAATAAACATCTGTATCATGTTACTTAAATTGGTTTAAATAGATATATATGTATTTGTATGTGTGTATGAAATTGCGTTGTGCCAGTTTACAGCATGGCTACGTTATGTGCACCTTTCGGCCAACACATCTGCTGGTATTGGTTGACCAGGCTACACTTCCCGGGTGTATATGTTTCTGTGTGTGTGTGTATTTGTTAGAAATTTATTCCCATGGGTAGAAAATGTAGTTGTAGTTATTCAGATATTTTAGTTGTTACTTTAATTCGTTTTAATATATGTATATACATATATATATATATGTAGAGAGAG